AGTTATCATGGCACCTAGACAGCTTCCCAGACCAGGAAAATTTGTTTCAGTTGTTTCTTTACTAATGTTTAAGTGCAGCTTTCTTACCCCTTCCTCAGAGACTTTACGACTTTAGTTTTGCTTTTCCTGTTTTCTTCTATTACTTAATCCTTAATTTAATACTACACATCCAGGCAGGAAGCTATTACAAAAGTAATTTAAAGGCTCATGTTAACTTGAAAAAATAGCACTGCAGATAGTGCTTTTCTTTCTTCACAGCAATATTCCATGCGGTATCATACCAGAATTTTCTACAGCTACTTCCAAGAAGAAAACAGCTCTGCAATATCCTCCAGTATCACAGGATCTTAAGCAGTAGTTTGCCTTTTGCAAAGAAAGAAGTACACAAAATAGAAGCTGAACCAGCATCTCTGTAGGGAAGTAGCAAGAAAAAGGGGTTGGGAAAGGTGGGCTTTCCCAGGACTGCAGTCTGATTTTAAACTGGTGCCTAGATGCTGGAGTTTAAAATCTGTTTCTAGCCCTGAGGTACTGGTGGACACTAGGCCTACTGTGGAAACTAATTTTTTTTAACCTTTCCTATTTTTCAAAAGGGTGGTTGAACTTAAAGTACTTCGAGAACATCAAGTAAATGGGGATAGAAAAAATTAACTCCAGCCTTCACCACATACATTACTCTGAAAGGAGATAATATCTCTGAGCTAAAAATTTGACTAGGATATATCTTTATCCTTTATGAAGCATGGCCTTCTAGCAGCTTCGTCCTCCATAATACCAAGGCTTCTGTAATGTCATTTCAAAAACATAATAAAGGAACCCCAAATCCTCAAACTTTCGTAACTACTGACAGTGCAGGAAGCTTATATATATATATATATATATATATATATAAAAGTCATGTTGCAAAGATGACAGGGAAAAGTAATCAGTAATTGAATTCAATTTACAGCTCCCAGATCATGCAGCCTCCCTGACTCATCCAAGCCACTCTGCTTTATCAGAACTGCCAACATCACACTGAGACAGTATGCAATAAAATATGGAAAATGTGTTCACAGTGTGCAACCTCAATGTAGCTATGAGCTGACATGAAAAACACTTTCTTCTCTCAGTGAAATGCCACGATGTGGCTGCATTAGCTTGGAAGCAGATGTATATGGCTGCTGCTACTGTCACTGCTCCTGTGACACACCTATTTTGCATATAGGGGACTTCAGCGCTCAGAATATACACACTCAGCCTCCTACACCAGCAGAAAATGCAAAGCTTCATTTCTAGCTATAGTCCTGAGTAATATGGGATGGAATCGCTCTTGTGCATCTAAAGGATGAAGTGCTGTGAGGTAACACCTTCATATGCCACTTCTACCCTCATAGTGGGGAAAAAACTGGCTGCCCATGAATCAGACCTTGCAGACACAGGAACCTGAGTAGCACAGATACTCCGATAAAACCACATGACACTACTTTCATGCAACTCAGTTCTGTAGACACAGATCTAGTTTTATCTGTCACTGACCAAGTCTGAATCCTTGCTTTTCTCATTGCAGCTCTAGTGTCTCAGTGTTTACCAAATAATAAATAAAGCTTTACTGTTCTTGCTCTTATTTTAGTATAGAGCTTGGGTACTAAAATAAACCCCATTAAGCTGGCTACTGTTACTCTTTCAATAAGTACTACTGCATCTATGATTTTAGTTCAAAGCCCTGCAATTTCTCTCCATTTCATAGCTGTAACATGGCATGGTAAGAGAATAGTGCAGCATTTCTCCCAATGGCTCCAAAGCAGTAATAACACCTGCAGCACTAAGTAGTGCTACATCTACAGCATCTTCAGCAGGAGAGAAACACAGAATAATTCAGGTTGGAAAGGACATTCCTCTTAAAGCCTCTAATCCAAACTGTGCTCAAAGTCAAGCTAACTCCAAAGTTAGGCCAGGGAGGAGAGGTACCAAGAATAATCACTTTCTTCTGCCACCACTGGGCAAGACAGAAAATAAATACTTGTTTGTGTGGATTAAATGCAGCATTTCTAAAAACTGGTGGGGAATAAAATTATCAGCCAATATAGATTCCACTTCTGATGAAAGATTGGACTTAGCCCCTCATATTTGCTGCTTCTCTGACACTTTCTGCCTTTCCAAAGATTAGATGTGCAAGGCATGGATCCACTGTTTTTAAAGTCAAATTAAAGGGCAAGTAATTTCAGACAGGAACTGATTTTTAAATATCAGTGTTTTCTCATAGTGCAAACTGTAGCTGAAGCCAACCAAAGTCACCAAGCTGCAGACTCATTTGCAGCTTTTCTAGTCACTGGGTTTTGAACTGTTGTACTTGATTCACTGGCCAGAACAGAATAAGGCACAGTGGTTAACATGCCAGTGAGTCAATGGAAATGTCGCTAAAATTGCCACTCTCAGCACTGGCAACATCAGTGGAATTATCTGGGTAGGAGTAATGGTGTGAAATGTTAGGAAAACGTCACTGGTAGTCTTTGCTCCACGACCAAGAAGCTGTGAACAGCAGAGAGGAATGAATTATTACTGAGAAACAAAATTCACATATGCACAATATTCTCTTTTTTTTAACCCCTACAGGAATTTTCAAATCACAGTTCCTCCCACTCAGAAATACTATTTATCTTCAAGGTGACTAAAACCATCATGTCTGTCCTGTAAGAAATTCTGTTCTCTTCTGGTTTTCTTCAGTTCAGAGAGAAACATGAAATTTAATATTAAATGTTCCCAGAAAGCACCGGATCCAGAAACGCAGAACTGTAGATTTTCAGTCAGTCCCTGGTCAGGACATGTCTAGACTCTACAAGGAGTTGTTGTTTCACATCTACCGTGCTCTCTACCTCCCCTGCACAGCTTCTTCCCCCAGCCAAGCCACTTCTTGATTACAGTGCAGGATGGAAGTGCCACCCTATTCGCTAACTGGGATCAGGCAGGGTAGACTCTATGTAAGAAATGACAACAGACTCCTCAAAGCTTCCCAGGCATGTCAAAGGTAGGCAAAATAAAAGTGAGGCTATTCTCCATAGAGCCCTCCTCCCCACTCTTGCCCATAATTTTGTGGGTTATGTAAGAACTTTCTTCCAAGGCATGGTGCTTATAAAGGGTTATGTGAGGTGAGGATCATTTATATATGATAATGTGGTTCTTCCTGCTAAAACTTCTTCCAGAATGCCTCTCAGGCATATACAACAGTGTGTAGTGCTCCCAGATGTGACCACGTTTCTAAGGAAGTAAGAGGGAAAAAAACACTCTACTGAGTTAGCTGAAAAACTCATGTGAGATTATGCAGCTCATGCATTCTAGTGCTCATCATTTAGCTACAGGGTTTTTAATCTTAAATTTCCACTCTCTTTAGACTTTTACTACCTGTGTCTCCTACTAATACCTAAGATCTAGAGGAAGGCAGCTCCAAGGAAAGGGGTCTTTTCTGTTGTCTCCATAGCCCCCTTTCCCAGGCATCTGGTGCTGCTACAGCTGGAGATGAGGCACTGAGCTATATCAGCAACTCCCACCTGCCAGGTGCACGTGGATCTGCACTGGCTGTGAGCACAGACAACCGAGATATTGCTGCACTGTTTTTCTGGGAAAAAAACGACCACCACCTATAGTTTTGTCAAACAAGGCTCAGATACAAGAAAAGTCATTAGCTAAATGCACAAAAGGACCTGGTTGATGAGATGAGGCAGCTTTTTAAATCCGAGGTTTATAAGTAAAGGCACCTGCCTCCTGGGATGCTTATGCTCCTGCAAGGCCATGACCAGGCACCATGGGTTTGGAGATGCCTAGAGAAGAGCAAGTCCACTGTCACCCATCACAGGTCTTTCTATCAGTACCAGTAACAGAATAAAAGCTCAGATTTTCTTTTTTTGGGCATGGGGCAAATGGGGAAGAGAGATAGTAAAAACAGTGGAGGAGAAACTTGCAGCAAGAAATAGTCTCTAGATCCTTTGACTTTGGACTGTCTTAGTTATTAAAGCATGCTCAAGTCCCAGAGTTTTCTATGGGTCAAGTACACAGTTAAGTAAAGCACACCATTTCACTCTCCTGAATAGAGTAGGTTCCTGATAAAGAAATAGCCCAAGGATGTTGCGTATGTACACTTTCCAAATGGCAAGTCAGATTCTGAATTTGCAACACAACAGTTCCTCAGCATGTTTCTATCCCATGATAAAATCAAGGTAGCTTAAAGGGTCGTGTTGAAGATTTCAGTGGGCTCTGGTCACACATGAAGGTTATCTCATTGTAACTTGCTTATGTGCTTTATTCTCAAATTAAATCATCTGCCAGGTCCACAGTTTCATGGAGCTCACATACAGTTATAGCAAAATCAGTTCTGCATAGAAGGAGCCAATGCCCTACTTCTCAGGGTGGGCTGTTTACATGCCAAGACAGAGTCTCAGTCATTTGGGCTCCACCTTCCTTCCAACCAAACCAAATCAAAATTTCTAAAGGAGTTTTTACAACAGTTGTGGTGAATTCCCTCACCTGGCCCAATTCCCTTCTTTCTAGGCACTGGCAGAATCATGTCACACACATCTAGGGAAAAGAGGGTGGTCACACACACACACATGATCTCACATTTTGTTACATGTTACTAATGATGGAAAACAGCAACTTCAAATAGAGCTTTAATTTCAAATAAAGTAGTTTCAAACTTAACTGCTGTCTTGAGGATAAAAGTGGGATGTCTGTGACAGTTGTACTATGATATGTAGCTTGCTCTATACAGTAGCTCTGCAGTAAAGAATCACAGATGGTTTGTGGCAGTGGGAAGACCCTGATCTTAGGCACTGCAGACTCACTGTACTTGCAGAATTCCACCTTAAAAGTAATTGGACGTGGCTGTAACTCAGAGGAGGTTTGCTAAGCAATGACACATTGCACTTGGATCTGGAAATATAACATCTGGAAGCCAAATGTTAGATGCAATATAAAAGGGCCAGCCCAACAAACCAGTGGGGCATTTCTAAGCCAGGAACATCTTCAGGATGGACCTTGTCTTTCTCTGTGTGTTCCTGCCTCTGGTGACTGTGGCATGGGGCCAGTACAGTGACTATTACTATGGTCCCTATAATTATGGAGATAATGATGAATGGGTCAATGTGTACCGGCAGGGTTTTAACTTCCAGTGCCCACATGGGCAGGTGATCGTGGCCGTCAGAAGTGTTTTCAGCAAGAAGGAAGGCTCTGACAGACTGTGGAACTATGCCTGCATGCCAGCATCCCAGAGCCTCGGTGAGCCGACAGAGTGCTGGTGGGAAGAGATCAACAGGGCAGGAACCGAATGGTAGGATACCCCCAACCATCCCTGGAGGGCACTGCCCTGATAACCCCTGTGGAATGCGGGTTCTAATACTGCCAGAGCAATGTAAATGCATATTAATGCCATGATAACCAGCAGCTTCACTGCCATGAACGACTGCCTCAGGCTCATTAATCATGATGCATGGAAGGTGATCAGCATCACATTTGTCTTCTCTGTAGTGATTTCTTGCTGTGTGCTTTACAAACTCCATGTCCTTTGGTCACTCAAAACGTCAGCTGTAAAGTGGGTCAGTCTTGCTATTGTTTCAAAGATAAGGAAAATTAGTTAGGAACCCTCAGTGAGGAGAGGATAAAGTCCCTCTTGAAAAGTCACACTGAATCAGTGATTAAACTGAGAAACAAATTCTAAAACTCCTCATTCCATCGTCATGCTCTTATCACCAGGAAAAATAATCTCTATATTGCACTGGCTTTTTCCTTCTTGTTTTTATTGCTAAGCTTTTTGGCTTAGGCTTAGACAAAGGCTATTTACCGGTTGTGCTGTTGTTACAGGAGCCAAAAATCCACACTAACAAGCGGTAATGGTGGCATACATGTATGTGCATGATGATAGCAGGAGATCATGTTAGTTCCCTAATACAGTCAGTTTAACTGGTTAATGACATTTATGTTTTCCATCAATGTTGGAGGCAAACATCACAAAAATTTTTGAAAATATGTATAGTATTTCATGTGCAGACAGCATATACCCAGTATTTAATTATCTCCTGATTATTTTTTCATGAAATGTGAAACAGAGTTTTGGAAAACTCTGAGATTGAAATAGTCTTTGGATAGAATCAAATACATGCAGGAATATTTTCAAATGTTTGAAATGGTTTTGTTGTAGAAATTGCAACGTGATTTTTTGTAGATTTGGTTATGTAGGAATAGGTCAGCAATGAGATGTGAAGTTTCTGCTTTTTAAATGATTCAAAATTTTGTTCTGAATTATTCATAATCTTTCATTTACCATGTGATACATGCCTATGGCTGATGCAATTGCTAAGGGAAAAAAAAAAAAAGACTGACCCTATACTTAATTTTGGAATATGAACGGAAAAGAAAGGGGGAGGACTGCAAAACAGGGAGAAAGAAGACAGTGTGATAATCCTGGATGACACTTCATTTTTTTTACATTGATGCAATTTCTACTTATTTCATAATAATTTTGAATTAGACCTTTGTTTTGTTCAAAATAAAATTATTACTCTCTTTCTAAAAATCCCTGGCAGCAATTGTTCAAGTTCACTTCTCGCAAACAGGATATCACATAAGTCTATACAGAGCATTTTCTTCTGCTGTCTAACCATTCCTCGCCATGCTCTGTATGCTTAGCATGACTGCATCCACAGTGTATTATCTGAATCTCATTTCCTTCACCTCTTAAAAAAAATCCTTCCACGCTGTCCTGTTTCTTGCCTACACTTTTTCCTATAACAAACCCTATCTTTTTTTCAAATGTATTTCTTTTCGAACCCCTCTTCAATGTGTTTAACTCTGTTTCTCTCTCTCTTTCCTAGCTCTTGGAGTTATTTCAGCACATCTTCCTCAGCTCACCTTCCTAGTCCAACATCCTTAAATCTACATGTCTACTCTGCATAGATCTACTTTCTTTCTTCTATTTTGGGGGAGGGGAGATCACCAAAGTGATTAGGGAACATATACCCCTTTGCAAAGGTGGACTTGTGCTCCTAGTCACTTGGGCTATTTCCATAAATCTTCCATAAAGCTGTGTCTGGTTGGGTTCTCCAGTTTTTAGTTTTCTGCACCCAGGGCTGAGCTAGTTGTATCTACAGTGCTTCATGGAGAGAGGTTTGCTCTAAGCCAGAACATCCTTCATCGTGCCAACACTGCTGCTGCCCAAGAACTCAGCAGTCTCATCCCAGACTGCAGTGAGAGTATTGGCCAGCAGGCAGCCAGCCTGGAGTGTCCAAGTCTAGACTCAAACCTCAAATGAATGTGATGGCACAGATGTAGCCTGGGGGACCTTTGAAAATCCTACTTATTCTCTTGGCATTCTTACTTCTCATAGCTGCCTCTCTTCTCTCTCTCTGTCATGCCCAGCTTAATGCTATTTGGAGCCATCCCCAATTTTAAAGAGATTCACTCAGTAATCAAGTGGGACCACAAATGTGAGTCACCATCTGTACCATTAGTTCCTTTTTGGCCAGCTCTCTTTCCTGCTGAACTCCCAACAAACCAATCTGTTGGTGAGCAATCTATCACTCTCATGTCAGCTGACACAGCACTCTGCTGGACTTGATAATTCATTTCCCATCCTTGTAGGATGGACTGTAATATTCTTTCTTCAGCTCTATTTCACACAGTATTTTGTTTCACCTTGCATATCACATCCAGGGAGATTCAATGGCTTGTACCACCAATAACTACAAATCTGACAAGTTTTTGCTAAAATTTCAATGAATCATAGAATCAATTAGGTTGGAAAAAACCTCCATAATCACTGAGTCCAACTGATGACCAAACATCACCATGTCAACTAGACCATGGCACTAAGTGCCATGTCCAGTCTTTTCTTAAGCACCTCCAGGGACAATGACTTCACCATTTCCCTGGGCAGTCCATTCCAATGTCTGACCACCCTTTCTGTGAAGAGTTTCTTCCTAATGTCCAGCCTAAACCTCCCCTGGTGCAACTTAAAACTGTGTCCTCTTGTCCTGTCAATGGTTGCCTGGGAGAAGAGACTGACTCCCACTGGACTACAACCTCCTTTCAGCTATAAAGAGCCTCCTTTTCTCCAGGCTAAACAAGCCCAGCTCCTTCAGCCACTTCTCATAGAACTTATGCTCCAGTCCCATCACCAGCTTTGTTGCTCTTCTTTGGACACACTCCAGCACCTCAGTCACTTTCCTGAATTGAGGTGTGGCCTCACCAGTGCAAAGTACAGGGAAAGAATCTCTTCCCTGGTCCTGCTGGCCACACTATTTCTGATACAAGCCCAGATGCCATTGGCCTTCTTGGCCACCTGGGCACACAGCTGGCTCACATCCAGCTGCTGGCAACTAGGACTCCCGGATCCTTTTCCACAGAGCTGTTTTCCAACCACTCTGTCCCCAGCCTGTAGCACTGCATGGGGTTGTTGTGGTCAAAATGTAGGACCTGGCACTTGGTCCACTCATGGACTTGGTCTTGGCCCATCAGTCCAGCCTGTCCAGATTCCTCTGCAGAGCCTTCCTCCCCTCCAGCAGATCAACACTCTGACCTAACTTGGTGTCATCTGCAAATTTGCTAATGTAAACTCAATCCCCTCATCCAGATCATCAATACAGATATTAAACAGGACTGGGCCCAACACTGATCCATGAAGGACACCACTAGTGACTGGCCACTAACTGGATGGAGCACCACTCACCAGCACTGGCCATCCAGCCAGTTCTTAACCCAGCCAAGAGTGCACCTGTCCAGCTTTTCCAGGAGTATACCATGGGAGATGGTACCAAAAGCTGCTGCTCTGCTGTAATCAAGGCTTTTTATTCCTTGCTTTACCTTCACTGAGTAATGTGAAAAAGCTCACTGCTTCCTTTTGTAAAGTCTCTTTAACTTTATAATAGGTAGCAGCTATGCCTTTCCCTCACCCACACACCTTCTCCCATGCTTTTGCTTTCAGGCTGAACACATCTCCATTCTTCTAGTTCTCCTCTGGAAATTTTATATTCCAACACTCCTAAGCAAGTACTGATCATGTCTACAGTTCTTCTCTGAATTCCCTCCAGTTTCTCAGCCATATCTCAGAAACTCTAGTCTGGCAGAAACATCAAAAAAATTACCTTTGACAAATTCTGTTTATGGCATTTCACAAATCGCCATTCTTGACTATGGTGCAGCTGCACAACAGAGCCAAACCCAAGAGAGGTTTCTTTAGAAAAGACAACAAACCAAGAAAAGCTTAAGAGAGAAAATGAAGTGGGAATATAAAACAGAGAAGAAAGATTATTTTCTTTTTCCTTTAGTCCTTGGGGAGAAATGGCAGAAATGGATGTGAGGAGCATAGAGATAGGAGAGTTGGGAGGCAAGAGGGAACCACTGACAGAGCTTCCTGGTAAGTTTGCTTCCCTCACTAACACTAGGTATTATATGAACGTAGAGAATTAAATGGCAAGACTTTGAATATTTCAGATATTAAAAAACCTATTTAACAGAAAGAGGACTATGACATAGATTCACATTAGGCATCTAATCACAATGCCTACTTTATGACCTTTGCCTCCTTCCAAGGTCAATGGAGAGAAACAGGTACTCTAAAAACTGCTCTCTGGGACACCCCATCTCTCTCCACAAGCAGACTCATGAAGAACAATCTCCTCTGACAGTTACCTAGAATTACCTAGTGGCATTTCAGAATATATCTATGGTGTTTCACTCAATAAATGCATCCCTGAAGTTAATCATATATGCACATACACTTCTGAAGAGATTACGTGTTTTTGTGTTTTACTGAATGCTCATGAGGAGCTTGTGAACATGTTACAAGATTCATAGGGAAAACTTTGGCAATCAATTGAATCAGGTGACCAGGGATACATTCTCACCTTCATTAATCAGTGAACACATTTAAAGTTAAGTACATGTACAAAAGCTTTGTTGAATCTGTCCCAACACCTTAGTCCTTCAGAGGCTATCTGCTAACCAAGATGCTATTCAATAGAGAGAGAACAACTGGGAGCAGAACCAGTTCCTGGATAATTTGGTACTCACGTCTGGAGTAGGGAAATGCATGCCCTGATTCTGCAGCAACATTTATATGCTGCAACATCTCAAAGAATCCATCTTTCAGGGAGCACAATGTTTATGTTCTTAGGTCCAGTTGGACTGGAGGAAGCGTGACCTTTTATAGATATTTCACCACCTAAGGTCTGAGTGATTGCAGGTGAGACTGCTCTTCACTGCTTTGCTGAGTACTACAGATTTGCCTCTATAGACCAGTCTCTGAACAGGGTACTTAGGGAAAAACTATTTTTC